ACCCACGAACTGGGAGATCATGGCCTGAGCTGAAGTCGGATGCTGAACCTGAGCCACCCAGGCGCCCCTCAACACTAAACTTGTAGGGAAATCCGGCAAAGCCCCCAGATATTTGTGCATCGGTCCATCATTGTTCCTGTGCCAAACAATAGGAGATTAGGGAAAGAGACATTGGTCAGAGGGATCTGGTCAAAATCAGTGCCACTGTTGCTTTTCCTTTTGAGGTTCCGTGGAACAAATTACTTTGCGTATCATTCTATGAGTTTCGTTAACATTACCATAAGCGTTCTATCTCTTGTTACGTGGAGAGGAGGCAGAAATTGAAAGGCGAAAAGCCAAGGGAGCGGTTCTTGTCTTGGTACCACCCAAACTTTCTGTCAGTCCTCTGGGTTCTTTCCTGGGCTCTTCAGGAACGAGTCTGTTCTAAATGAGGAGAACCCACTGATCACTCCTTTCTTTCTAGAATGCTGGGATTAGATCTGGTGGTGAGAGATGACAACGGGAACATCTTGGACCCAGATGAAACCAGCACCATCGCCCTCTTCAGGGCCCATGAAGTGGCCTCAAAAAGGATCGAGGAAAAGATCCAAGAAGAAAAGGTACACGTCCTCCGACGTGCAGATGAGGTTTCATTTTTGCTTTTTGTCTTTGATGAAAGGGAGTCATTGACAACAAGAGGTAGAAGCGTTTAGAAACTCATCCATTGCCGCGTTTGAAAAGCAAAAGAGGACAAAAAGAGTGAGTCAGGGGTATACCTTCTGATATGGAAAGATCACAAAGATCTACATTAACAGACAAAGAGCAAGATGGAGAACGAGGTGTACAATATATTCATCTTTGTGTTTCAAAAAGGGATACACATACCACAGCGTTTGCACATGCGTTGACTGACTCTGAAACAGTAGACGAGAAGTTGATAATTAATGGTTGCCTCTAGGAAGGAGAACTGGGTGGGAGGGAGCCTTTGTACCACGTAACCTTTCGTATTTGGTGTATGTAATACAATTTCCAAACTAAATAAAATCATGTTCAAAAAGAAAGCGTTTGAAAGATTTGAAAGTGACAATTGGACCTTAAACACAAATTGGAAAGGTACAGAGAAAGAGAACAAGAAAAAAAAAATCGCTCATAGTATGACGGCACAGACCCAACCATGTTGATATTTTGATATATATTCTTCCAGTCTTTCTGTTCTGTTGAGTAAAGGCTTCTCTTTACTTGGTTGGTAGTTTTGTTTCCTGACTTAGCACAGTTGTCATAATATTTAATTGTGTTCCTGGCTTCAGTGGCTCACCATGCCTGAGGGTGAAGCCTTTCCAGAGGAATCTCTTGTTTGCAATGAGAGCTCTTCCCCAAAAGAGGGATAATGATTCATGATTCTTGTGCCTGTGAGGTTCATTCAGAAGCCATTTGAGAGATGAGAAGTTCTTGAAGCTTCCAAGCCACAAATCGTCTTTAGATGGCACTTAATGAATGAGGTGGGCTTAAGGCCCCCAACAGGACAGTCTTGATCATTCAAAGAATAGTGATGGTGCTTTGCTCACTCAACCGTTTAGCCACGTGCACACGCTTTCTTCTCCGTCAGTGCTTCTCCCCCGGGGGGGGGGGGGTAATTATATTCGTCCCGCGTTTGTCAGCCCGTGTCTTTGCCATTGTTTGCCATTTGCTGAAACCAAGATGCTTTTCTCTCTTTCCCTCTGTGTCCAGTCGGTTCTTCAGAACCTGGACTTGCGGGGCCAGTCTGTCTTCAGCGCTGTCCATACCTACGGCCTCTACGTGAACTTCAAGAACTTCGTCTGCAACATTGGGGAGGACGCCGAGTTGTTCATGGCCCTCTATGACCCGGACCAGTCCACCTTCATCAGGTAGCCGAGTCCCAGGTCATCTGCGGTTGACCTTGCAAAAAGACCCACCCTTACGTGCCACCCACCTAAGGAGCTCTTTGCTAGGTTTGGGAGGGGGAGATAGAAAAGAAGGGAGGGTCTCTAGGTGATAGAAAGTAACATCCTTTGGGCTCCTGAGCCTTTCTGTATGGCTGCTGGCACAGTGTGTGTGCTCCCTGGGTCTGAGAATCACAGGAAACTCATCAGAACATGGAGACAGGGACAGGATAAGGGAGGAATGCATCGGCAGAGCACAGAGGATTTTAAGGCACATGACACCGTAATGGTGAATGCGTGTTATCATACATGTGTCCAAATCCGTAGAACGCACAGCGCCAAGAGTGAACCCTAAGGTAAACTCGGGACTCTGCGTGGTAATGACCTATCGGTATCGGTCCATCAATTGTGACCAATGTGCCACTGTGCTGGGGGATGCTGATAGTGGGCGAGGCTGTGCATGGGCGGGGGCAGGGCTATATGGGAACTCTGTACCTTCCACTCAACTTCGTTGTCAACCTAAAACTCCTCTAAAAAATAAAGGCTGTTTAAAGAAAAAAAAAAGCGCTTTTTAAAAAGACTGTAGAGAATAATAGGCTTTGTTTGACCCTGCAGTCACACTGCTACTTGGCTGAGCAGCTAAGAAAACCGATTTGGTTTTTGACTAGATGGTTAAAAGTAGTTACTGACAAATCGTTCATTTCTGCAGTAGAAATTTTATCTGAGTGGGGTGGCGTGAGTTCCAGGGGATGGATCAGGAATGAATATTTTGAAATTATATTCCTGATTCCGCAAAGCAGAAACCGTCATACGAAGAATTTGAGTTGGAAGAAAGACCCCAGACAGCGTCTGGGAGAACGTGCTGTCTGTCTGTGCCCGTCCTGAGCAGCGTCTGTCTCGGGTCCACCCTGGGTGTGCCTCTGAGCACTGGGCTGTGGCACTCGCGCTTGTCCAAAGCCAGGGGACCAGGGAGTGGCCACCTGTGCGCTATATTCACACTTGCCTGATAAATTCAACAGAGCTTGTTTGGGCCTTCCTTTCACCCTGTTAAGTCTATACCGAGGGTAGCCCCATCCCCAGTTAGCTCTTCGTTAAGGATATTTTTTTTTTCCTTCCCCAGTGAGAATTACCTAATTCGTTGGGGCAGTAATGGGATGCCCAAGGAAATAGAGAAGCTTAATAACCTTCAAGCAGTTTTTACTGTAAGTGCGACCTTAAGTTTAATAATTTTCTGTGCTTACGATGTTAGCAGATGCACATGGTAAGTATATGGAAAACATCAGAAATGAAAAGAAGACAAGAAAAATCATCATGATCCCCCTAGCAGGAATAACCGCTCATTTATTTTGCAGATATTTATCGAGCACCTATTAGATGCCAGGCACTGATCTGGGCACTGGACATATAGCAGTAAACACATCAGAAAAAACATCCCTGGGACGCCTGGGTGGCTCAGTCAGTTAAGCTTCCGACTCTTGATTTCATCTCAGGCTGTGATCTCGCGGTTATGAGATCCAACTCTGTGTCAGGCTCTGCGTGGAGTAGAGCCTTCTTGAGATATTCTCTCTCTCTCTCTCTCTCTCCCTCTCTCTCCTCCCCTCTCCCTCCCTCTCTCCCTTCTCTTCCCTCTCTCCTTCTTTCTCCCTCTCTCCCTCTCCCCTCTGTCCCTACTCTGACTGTGCTCGCTTGCTCGCTCTCTCTCTCTCTCAAAAATAAATACAGTTTAGAAAAAGAAAAAAAAAGAAAAAGCATCTCTGGCTTCAAGGAGCTTTTGTCCAAAAGGGGAAGACAGTAAGAAACAGTGATCAAACACATGAGTAAATTGTATAGAATGTTAGGGGTCATAAGTATTTTTCGGGAGGGGGGGGGTTGTTGGGAGCTTTGGGCCTGGGGAAGTGATCCTTTTTAAATAGGCGGGTCAGGGCAGACCTTCCTGAGAAGGGGCCATTTGAGCAAGAACTTGAAGTTGACGAGAGTGAGCAATGCTGATGAAGAGCTTTGCAGACCGGGGTTACAGCTCCAGCAAAGGCACAATCTCTATTTTTTGGTTCGCTCCTCTTTCAATGGCCTTTCCCCTGTATTTCTCCTCTTCTCCAAGGTAGGAGGAGCGGTGCTCTCTCTGGGTCAAGAGCGAGAAAATTTATCGGGTCATAGAGCTGAGACCTGGTGACTCTTTCTCCTGGGTTAGAACTTTCTCGGGGTTCTCTCACTTTTTTATGACATCGGTGCTTAAAATGCCCCGGAGCCGCTGCCACCTGCTCTGAGAGGTGTTGGTGGGCAGGCTTCTCCAGCTCCAACCAGGCCTAAAGGGGATACGCCGTCCTTTCCTGCCTTCTTTCCTTAAGCCCATGCACATATATGTTATCTCCCTGTTCTGTTACCACTCTGCAGCAGGGAAAATACAGTCTAAGGTAAAATGCCAAAGGAAGCAATAGGAAGGAGCAGTGGACCCAGGACAGTCTAGTCATTCATTCATTCATTCATTCATTCATTCATTCCTTCTTATTAGTATTTATTCCTTCTGTTAACGTCTCATTTTCACGACGAGCACGGTGTGATGACCGCTCGTGAGCTGACCCACCTATATCTTTACCATCTGGTAATCAAAGACAGAAGAAGAGCTTAAACTCTTCCCGAAACCTCCCTTCCTCAATTCTAAGATGTGTGGATTTTCCCCTAAAATCAAAAAGCGTTTATTGGTCAATGTGTGCATTGAAAAACCACTGGGGAAAAAAAAAAAAAAAAGGAATTATTGAGCTTTTGGTCCATCTTCTAATCAATGACATTTTAGAAAAGCTGCATTTTATCCTGTTTCTCCCACACCCCTCCCGATTACGATCTTCTTGGATGTAAATTTCATGTCCAGCTTTTTCAGTGAAATAAAATGTGGTGACCACGTCCTTGATCATTAAGCAGCCTTCCAAAACTTCTTTTACAAAGCACATTATTAAATAGTTGCAGTGTGCCCCAATTTATGTAACTAGTCACCCGGAGTCTTTATCTTTCTATTAACAGAAGCCTCACAAAACTTAGAATAGAAATTCAGGGTTGATGCCATCATTGGTATATATCCCTATTTTGGAGACCTCAGTTAACTCAATTACAGAGGATGGATTCGGAATGATTATTTAGAAAGTAATTCTTGATTCAGTAAAGAGGCCTTGGACAGCTGTTTCATGAAAAGAATTTGAGCTGCAATTAAAATATTTCTGATGTTTAAGAGAATGAGCTATGTGGGCTCATTCACGGATTTACTCACCCATCCTTGAGAATACCAACAAGTGTAGAACACGAGCCGCAACAAAACAGAGACATCCACACATCTTCCATTGATCAACATACACCGAGAAGCTCTCCATGAATACCTCTCAAAAAGCAGATGAATAATTACAGAAACCAGCACATGTAAATTTCTGTGTTATAGCTGCCTCGCAGGATTATTTGGAAGATGAAATGAAATAACACCGGCATGTGTAGATACCCAGTAAATGTCAGCGTCACGCAAGCTTTCATTTCATCTGACACCGAAGTGCAGCCTGTGCTCAGCTCTGTCCTGGCAGAATATAAAGTAGCAATGACAGGTGTCCCGATTTTTAAACACCCTGCTTAAATTGATAAACTAGAGACTTCAGACCAAACGTGATCTTCTTTTTCTCGATATGAAGTAGGAACTGAGGAATCAAAAAAAAAAAAAAAAAAAAAAAAAAAAAAAAAAAAAAAAATCCCTTCCTTTTTGGAATACGGGCTCCGATGCCCTGGTAGTTCTTGGGTGGGTATGGAGAAGGGAAGGCTCGTTCTCCTTTTCCAGGATTAGGAAATAGGCTCTGAATGGTGTTCTGTTGTAGAGTGAAAAGAGAAACAAAGGTGACGGGTGATGCCGCCTGATCTCCTCTTGCTTGGTCTCTGCCCCTTTAGGACCTCAGCAGCACAGACCTCATCCGGCCCCGCATCAGCCTCGTGTGCCAGATTGTCCGGGTGGGCCACATGGAGCTGAAGGAGGGCAAAAAGCATACCTGTGGGCTCCGAAGACCTTTTGGAGTAGCAGGTACAGAAAGTCCCAGAGACCTGTAAAGGGTGCAGCCACTGTGAAAAAAAACGGCACGGCAGGGCCTCCAATAATTAAGCATAGAACTTATGATCCAGGAATCCCACTTCTGGGTGTGTCTACCCGAAGGAATTGGAAGCGGAGGGTCTCAAGACATTTGTACACTTGGGTTTAGAGCAACATTATTCACAATAAGCCAAAAGGTGGAAGCAAGCCCAGTGCTCATGGAGGGATAAATGGGTAAGCAAAATGTGGTACATACATACAGTGGAATAGCGCTCAGCCTTACAAAGGAAGGAAATTCTGACCCAGGTTACAACATGGATGAACCATAGGGATGTCGTATAAAGTGAAATAAGCCCGTCACACAAAAAGATAAATACTGTATGATCCTACTCATGTGAAGTAGGTCAGAATCGTAGAAACATAAAATAGAATGGGGGTTGCCAGGGGCTGGGGGGAAGGAGGGGAGATGGGGGGGAGTTGGTGTTTGCTGGGGACCGAGTTTCAGGTGGGGAACATGAAAAAACTCTGGAGAAGGACGGCGTTGTCAGCACCCCACGAGTGTGCATGTGCTTCCTGCTGCTAAACTGGGCTTTGAAGAGTAGTTAAGACAGCAGATCTGACGTTACTCATGTTTTACCCCCACCACACACGCACACTTAAAGATAGGAGGGTGGGGAACCCCAGAGACCGTGCAAGATGAATTTGGTTGTCAATGTTAGTATCCGACACACAGCATTCACTCCCTCGGCTACCAGTTCTCTTTCCTTGGGTCCTGTGTCATCACCTAGACCTAGACCTAGACCCCGCCTCCTTTGTTTCTTCTTCAGTGCCCAGCACTATGCCTTGCACACGGTAGGACCTTAGGAAAGCCTCAGTCGTGACCACCGGCATTGCCCTGCCTGTGGGCTACGTATTGATTTTGGTCCAGTAAAACTCTCCCTGGGAAGTGGTTTGCCTGTCTGGGAGACTCACTCATCAAAGGCAACATTGTGTTGCTGACTGCTTTCAAAGAGGGTCCTTGGCTTAAATCAAACCCCGCAACCTTCCAAGAGGCCCTGCGTTTTCTTCCGTAGTTTGTTAAATGAAGGAAATACATTCCTGGTCGTACGTGGACGTTTTGCTCCCTGAGACGTTTTGAAAGCTGTCGATGAAATGCTGTAATTCTCCTGGAACAAATGTCCAGAAAATGCCACCAGGATTGACCTGGTGGGTTTATGGATAACGAGGCGGCCTCTGTATTCCATGAGACTGGATGTCGTCATCTCTTGACCAGCCTTGCGCTGCACCTGCTGTCAGGGTCTGCTGGTCTGTGAAGAGGGCACAGCATTACTCCTGATAGAGAGTTAAAGTGAAATCTGAGAAAAGGCAAGGAGCCCTGGCCTAGCACTATTTAGCCATCTAGATGACAATCTACCGAACTAAGGATTTAAGGCATGTTCGAGGTCATTGTCATTCCAAATGGGCCATAGAGATTTGAAAATCAAGCTTGAGGCTTGTGCTTGTTTTTCTGTTTCAGGGTGTGTGTGTGTGTGTGTATGCACGCATGCGCGTAAATGTAAGGCGAGAACAGTAGTAATTTACTCTGAGACTCGATGCCAAGAGGTTTGGGATAACTAGGTGATGGCCTTGACAAAGAACTGCCTCTGGAAGGGGGTGTGCCAGACACAGATTTTTCAGTATTTTGTTTTTGTGTACAGTGTTTGCAGGGGTCTGTTAAGGACTAACAGCAAGTTGATGGCATGGCCCGCTTTTACCGCAGCCTTTCACCAATACTATTATTTCCCAAGCCTAACACATTGTCATTCGGGTTGCTTTGAGAAGGCATTTCCTTCCTTATCCCTCGTTTTTCAAATGAGAAAGGTCTTGTATTTCAGTACTTCTTTTAATCTCCAAACAGGTTATCTGGGGAGTGGATTGTGAGCGTGCGCTTTATGGCCAGATTGTAATTCATTAACCAAGGGATCACCTCTTGGCTGCGGGTCCTGCCTGGTTTGAGCAGCTGTAGAGTGGTCCGCTCATCAGTTCTCCGGGCAGCAAGGCTTTGCTAGCTTAAGTGATTTGGCCAGGTAATAATCGCAGTTGGGTTCATACCCTGGCTTTACCGCTTAAGACTTCCGACCTAGGGCAAGTTACGTACCTTTCCTGTGCTCGGTTTCCTCATCTCTTAAAGTAGGGGCATAAAGTATCTGCATAAATAAGAAAATATATACAATAGGCTTAGAACAGTGCTTTATTGGTTACTCTGCTTGTGCACAAAGAAGCAAATCACCGTATGATCTTCTGTTCTATGCTGCTGGTGCTCTTGGCTTCCCTTCGTTTACATGGAAACCAGGTGCGACCACGTCAAGGCCAAGAGACAGGTGACCACTTCAAGTCATGAGTTTCTCAGGTCTTCATTCTGTTGACACTCCTGACGACAATCTGTGTTCCCCGTGCCTGGGAATGCAGGCTTACCAACAAGTAATCCACCGGTTTAAATTTCTCCAGAACTGAGCGCTGGGTCTCATAGAAATTTCAAAAGCGTGTAATCTGCAGGATTGAGCGGAGCAAATCTAAACACCTGCACGAGCTCCTGATGAATGGATTGTTCTGCAGGGTGGGTGCTGGGAATGATCATTGGCAAAGACAGAAGTGTCCCTGCTCTGCCTGTCTGTCTGTCTGTCTCTCTCTCTCTCGGCCTATGTTTGCAGATACTGTAATTTTCCATTGTAACGTACTGAAGCCTGAAGCAATTAAGTTCTTTAATTAAGTTTTATCTTTTTCCTAGTGATGGATATTACTGATATTATACATGGGAAGGTGGATGATGAAGAAAAGCAGCATTTTATCCCCTTTCAGCAGTAAGTACTGTGGCATTTATCCTGGGTGACTTGACACCTGGAATAGTTCTTTGAATGATCTGTTAACACACAAGCAGGTGCTAGGAACCATTGCTCAGTTACAAAAGCAAAAGTCTCATGCTGGGAGATTGCGAGATAGAAGCTGACAGAAGACTTTATTCAAGGTCCTTTATGTTGGGGTCACACGTAAGAGGGTAAACCTAACTTTCCCGATTCTGCAGACAAGACCTTTGGAATATAAGGGGCAAATCTCTATCTGCTCTAGAAACCCAAGAATGGTGCCATTTAAGCGTCAGGAAGGCCGAAGTATATTTGTACTTTGTCGTGTGGGACGAGTGTCATGGAATACAAGGCATCATGTAGGACAGCACGGGGCTTCTCTTGAGGTCTTGTCAGTGCAGAGCATGGTCTGGTAGGTGTGGAGGCTGCATCTGACAAGCTTCCGGCTGCTTCTACCAGGCTGGAGACCAGGAGGGTGAAAGGCTGCCCAACGCCTGGGCTCCTGCTGGAGAGGAAGAGCCAGCCTGGCAGTACATGGAAGGATTCCCTGGAGAGCTCTACTGAGGCCTCCAGACCGAGCTTCAGGAGCTGGAGCCCTGGCTGGGCCACTGGGGAGCTGTTGGTCAGCAAAGGTCAACCCCCATCCATGACTCCGAAGAAGTGTATGTGCGGACACCATTCCTGGCTCTATGAGTCGTGGCTGCCTTGCCCCAGGTGCGGGCAGTGGTGGCCTGAATGAGGCCACAGACGATGCTGGAACTGACCCCTAACAGGGCAGTCGTGTCAGTGAGGGAAGGTGACCGTCTCAGCCAGCCTACAGCTGCCAGAGCAGGTCAGCGGAACAACTTAGAATTCTGGAAACCAGCCCAAAGACGTTTGAGTTAATATATGATTTTTTAAAAAAAATAATAGTGCAGATCCATGGAGAAGTATGAACTACGCAGAAAGGAATTGTTTGACAAAATTAGCTCACCATTTATTAAGCTGAAGTCAGAACCTTGTCTCACATCTTGTGCCGGATGATTAAACTTATAAGTGTAAGAACTCAAATCTCAAAATATACAGGGAAATAGAAGTTTTATGTAATAGTGCCTTTTATGAATCAGACTCCAGAGATTTGAGCAAAAAAAAAAAAAATTTGATAGGTTAAACCACCCCCAAATTTTAAATAACTTATATACAGAATAACATTTAGTAAAATCTTTGCAATGTGTATGAAAAAGAATGACTATTGTTAATATATAAAGAATTAATAGTAGTAATTCATAAGGATATCAACAGAAAAGAATATATGTGTGTATATATAGACACACACAAATATGTACACATACACACACAGAAAGAAACGGCTTATAAATTCCTGGAGAATCAACGAAATGCAAAATAAACAAGGAGGTTTAGTACTGGGTTTGATCGAGTTTTAAAAATATATATAATATCCAGAGTTTGGGTGTAAGGAGATATACAGTACTTATAAGAACATAAAGGGGCGCCTGGGTGGCTTGGTCGGTTAAGCGTCTGACTTCGGCTCAGGTCATGATCTCGCGGTCCGTGAGTTCGAGCCCCGCATCGGGCTCTGTGCTGATAGCTCAGAGCCTGGAGCCTGTTTCCGATTCTGTGTCTCCCTCTCTCTCTGCCCCTCCCCTGTTCATGCTCTTGTCTCTCTCTGTCTCAAAAATAAATAAACGTTACCAAAAAAAAAAAAGAACATGAATTGTTACAGTGCATTAAAAGCCTCAAAATTTAGGTATTTCAAAGAATATACTCCATGATTAACAGTGGTTATTTCTGTTGAGTTAACCAAAGGTGATTTTGTCCCATTTGTGTTTAACTCTGTGCTTCTGTTTTTTCCCACAAAAATCACGTATTGTATGTAATTTTATTTAAAGTATAAAAATCTTTATCTTTCAGTTTAAGGCCCACCACTTTGGACCAGTTTCTAGATATAACAGTACCAATAGCTCATGCTCAGTAGCACCTCCTTCATCCAGAGGCTGCTATTAATACTTTTTAAAACGTGCACTTATCGGGGCGCCTGGGTGGCGCAGTCGGTTGAGCGTCTGACT